CGCTTCAGTATCACAAGCACAATCATAGCACCAAAAGTTTACAGTGAACTTCCTTTGGAACGCCTTTCGATCGAATGAGTTATTCGATTTCTTTCCAGCGCAGAACCAAGATGGGATGGTGTGATCCCGGTATTTAGGCAGAAGAGCAATCCCCTTGGAAGAAATCTTTCTTAAAATATATCCGGCATTCCGCAAGGATGGGTAAGGGTCGTAGGTAATCGGTATAGGACGTGAGCCAGTCTGGCCTACATAAAAAAATTTTTATTAAAAAGCAAATCGAGCGTGCGCGTTGAAGTCGTGGACCTTCATGTCGTGCGTAGGCCGGCTGTCCTACCAACTATGCCATTTAGTAACTATTTATCGCGCTGTTGTTCAATACGGGCAGTACCCTGAAATAAGGCCCGCCTTGTCGGCATCGCATACAGCAGGTACGATATCCGTCTGTAACCTAGCTATTTGAATCATGTTGAAAACTAGAATGTAAATTTGAATGTTAGCGAAATTAGTGGCCTTCTTTAACATGCTAATAGCACTGCCTATTGGCGACCTACAGTAGTACCTCCTCAATCATCACCTGTTTTCATACTTTTGAAGTTCTCAGGTATCGTTTATGTATGCGATTTTTCAGGAAGATAAATGCGTAAGAGCATGGCAACTGTTTTTTTTTTTCTTAATTCAACAGCGAGATAAGAATAAGCTCTACCATCAGTGGTAAAAGTAAAAGGATAAAGTTTTTGGCGTTAATCAATCCCGTCTGAGGGATGCGCCCCCGCACTCGACTTCCATTCAGAATCGTAGTGGCGTAATGAGTGCGTATGTGGCCTATACAATGACTTGCGGTGGCCAGCCGATGTACAAGTCAGTGCTTTTACCCTCCCAGACGAGTCTGGTACAGATTCACCGACCCCGGAGGGATGGAAGGCTTGGTTGGCCTGGGCGGGCATCGATCCGGGATTCAAATTCTGACCGTGCATGTGATATAGTGCGCCACTTGCCACTACACCACCTCCCCCCTACCATCAGTGGTAACATGAAAAAATAATTAATATTGGCGTAATTAAGGGAATAATTACATACATCTCTCGTGGTGATCCCGGAAACACTCGGAGCGAAAAATATTCATAGCGCTTGTTGCACCGTAATTGAATGTTCTTTGTACGATCCGCAGCACAAGCGCCACTTTTCTTTCCACAGCCTCTTTAAGCAACCAATGCCTTCTGCACCTTTCCTTCTAGTGCTGTCTACGATGCCGATGAAACTCGTTCACCATGGGTGTGGCATTCACACGATACAATCTCAGGCTCTTAACTGTGCCCTATCAAAACGTTTTTCGATCTTGTAACGGCAGATATTTTCTAATTCTATTCGCTATGATGATTCACCGGTAATATCTTGATTGATGTCACCAACGTAACTAAACCTGAACTCATTAAAATGAATACTGTCGTTAGTGTCACACAAATATATGAATCACAGCTATTTTCTGCATGACAGCATGAAAGCAATCATTCTAGGATGAGACGGAAAAATGGAAAATAAGTCGAAATATGATCACTTTGATCAGCAATTTATATGAGTTTCTAATGATTTTCGACGACAATTGGTTTGACCTTGAGAGAGCTTTTCTGGCACGCCATGTTATACAATAAGAGTTTCCTTATTATTCTTTCATTCCTTGAAGGCACAGTTTACGCAATAATTTCAAGGTACTCTTTTTGAGTTGAAAAGCGGAAGCGTTGCTGTAGAGCAGTACGTCGGTGGCAACGAAAGCAAAAGAATCGACCGACTTCGCGAAACAAGGCTTCTATAAAGTAGTGGAAGTAGAAGTTGTACGAGAGGACCATGACGGGATGGCATGTAAAGGGTGTTTGGACCACTTGCTCTAGTTGCGCAAAGAGCTGACTACATCTAGCCAAAATTGTTCAAAAATGCCTTCCATTGCCGCATGGATTATGACAAGTTGTTTGGACTTCTTACATGGGAGTGCCTTGAGACAGTGTAGCGTCTACGACGCCGATGAAACTCGTTCACCATGTTGGCATTCACACGATACAATCTCAGGCTCTTAACTGTGCCCTATCAAGACGTTTTTCGACCTTGTAATGGCAGATATGATATAATTCTTACTACGGGGAAAACTCAAGAACCAGTCTTGTAGTATCATGTTATACAAGGAATACATGCTAGGCTAGTCGCAAGTATGTGGTCAACAAAAAGTTTCATTTCAAAGTTCGCACTAATTTTCTAATTTTCAAAGAATGCTCATTCCACGGTTGCATGGTTGAGCTGTGACGTGGCCTGAAAACGACCACGGTTAGGGAGCCCCTGTTTTCTTAATTGTATACAATATCAAGTCAGCTGAATCGCCTTATAAGCCAACGCTGAGCTAACTTACCCTTCGCGATCGATATCTAATGGCTCACTGCCCTCGCTAAGGCCGTGTCCACTCAAGAGCACGTGTGGTAACACGTATTGTTATGCAACTGGCAGAAAGAAGCGACAACGTTACAAGAAATACAGTACAGCTCTGAGTATCAAATTCATTTGTACTACTTCAAATCGCTTGGAACTTAACTTTTTACTTCTTCAAAACAGTTTTTTTGCTTTGCCTCCAGCTCCATTGTTATGGGATTTGGAGGGCACAGTCATTAAGGACCGGCTCAATTAGTTCAGAGTGGCGCAAAATACTCGCCAACGTGTTGACTCAGCGTTAGCAAACACTGTGAGCGATGGCGGATCCGAACCCCTACGTATCCCTCGTTGGGTGCAAACATAAGACACACGTCCTGCCTCTGCGCCACTGGACCGGTTGAACTTACTAGCATTTTTGCGAGCAATTTCATAGCCAATTAAATTGATCGCAGTGGAAGCAGGGTAAAGTGTTTTTGAGTCACGTTATTACTTTATTCACTGCTCTCATGCTAATCTTTTTGAACAGCTCACTTCGCCGTCAGCGTGTTGTATGATAAACGGATATTTCGTTGCAGAACAAACGCACTTATTAAAGCCAAACCGAGTAAATTTAGTAAACCTTACACTTTATACCATTATCAGTTGTCATTTGCTCTCTGTGGTGGCTTGATTGCTTTATTTCTTTGGTCGATACTTTCAGAAACCAGTCGGATCAAATCAGGGATGGGTATTGTATGAACGACGTTGTTCATTGTGCACCGCTAAAGAATCGAACCCTTCAAGTCGATAACCAATAATAATTGAGAGTCATGGCAATTAGTTCCGAGCCAATTTATCGCTAACGCCGTTCACTCATAATTCAACTGTCACTTTCTTCAAAATTCAGCATTTGCATGTATTGCTTGGTTATTGCTTAAATTAGAGATATCCAGATTGATTCTTCCTGTTAACATAGAGAAATCCAGTACATCTTCGAAGCATGGACTTATGTGTCATTGTATTGACTCTTTTTTCAGACTAAAAGCACCTCATTTCGGTCAAGCAAATTTCAGATAGGAAATGACCGTATGCAGCGAGCATAGGATTGCCCCCTCCAAGCGGATGGTTTTATTTTGCAAGGCAAGGGCAAGAACTGTTAGGTCACTCAATCATGACTTGTCTGCACTCTTCAAAAACACGATAAAATCGATTTACCCAGAATTAACAATGTTCAGAAGCAACAAGGTCCTAATCAGCATTATATCAACGGCATCCTAAGTGAGTCATTCGTGACTAGTTTTCCAAAAATAACCTCGGCATTCAAGAATGAAGCTTCATATCGGTTGATATTGTTGTTAACACTTTGACAACCTTGCAGCCCACATATGGGCTACACCGTGTAACTCAATTTTTTTGTTTGGTTTTTTGTTTATATGAATCTCTCTCAAAATGTAATTGATAGGCACAAACTTGATGAATGAACAAACAGAGTGGTTTGAAAATAAAACCTCCACCAACAAATTTATAATAAAAGTAGTGATTATATATTCGTTGTTCTTCAAGTGTATAGTTATTAAATGCTGAAACATTTTGAAACTCGTATAACTCCTATCCATTGCACAGCCCATAAAACCTATTGAAGCACTCTACACAGAGAAATGATTTGCACTTGCTGCACCACGTATTTACCCTTCTCTAAGACGGAGTGCACCGGCTCGCCCCTCTTCTGAAGCCCTGAGCGCATAGCAGTGTGTGCATCTCCTTCTTGTGATGGCTTTTGGTCCAGGCACTTCCTCCAGGTGGTGTTTTATGGAAGGTGGGAGGTTCAGATCCGTTGAAAGGAGAGCTTCTACTAATTTCATTATGAAGTCGTTCAGTTTTACCTTTTTGGCGACAACATTGTAGAGTTTCCACGCGTTGATGACTGCGACTTCAGATCAAACGGAGGAAAATCCTTACCCACCATTCAGCAGTTCTTCGCAAAAAAGGGGTACATGCTGCAAGCTGGTCGGAGAGGTCTACGAAGGATTTGAGGTCATTGTAGTCGTCGACAACGGCGGGTTTACCATTGGCGTTGATGCTCCCATCGTGCTTTGTTGACAGTAGCAATATTTCACGTTTGTCCTTCCATTTCATAAAGAGAGTACCTTGCTCATTTTGCTTCGTTCCTTTAAAGTCTTTTCTCCTTGATTGCCTTTGGAATTCCTTTTCTAATCTTTCGCAAGGTACCTATCACATGCGTGCGCCTTTTCAGAAGTTTTTCAGCCAGTGTAATGCTGGTGTAGAAGGTATCCGTACACAGCCTACGTTCTTGAAGGGTCTCTCCCTTCATATACCTTCATTTTGGCTGTGCATCCGTCTCGTCCACATATTTTGAAGAGCTTGATACCGTAGCGATGCTTTTTCAACGGCGTGTACTGCCTGAAGGAAATTCGCCCTCTGAATGGTACCAGGGATTTGCCTATGCAGACGTCGCCGCCGATAGAACAAGCGCTCATAGCTGTCGCGTTGAAGAGGCTTAAGAATTTCCGAATTCTGTGTAGCTTGCCCCATCGAATTCGTCGTAGTTGTCGACGTGGAGGGAACGAAGAAGCTCTTCGAACCTTATCCTAACCATAACATGACCGACGTGCTAATGACCACCTAGAGCTGGTCGCTGGCTCCAAATCATACAGTCGTGGTAGTCTAACGATTCCCATTTGGAGGCGGATTCCGAAGAATTTCCTCATTTCGTCCTCCATCTTATCTTGGAAGTCCGATTCGGATTTCTCCGCTTTTCGCTGGTCACATCTGTTCGTTTCGGTGACAATGAGCTCCATCATTTCAGTATCAAGAAACAGACTGTAGAAGTCGACAGGATGGCTGCAACTACAAACGTGGGCGGCTGGTCCATATTCTCCTGTAAAAATCCATCGATCTTGAGTTGATGTAGTTGTTGACCAGGACATTTCAGGTACATCACCAGATTCCGATTCACTTTCAAAGTGAGGATCCTCGTCTTGTAGTTGCGCTTCATCTGCGATCTCATCCTGATGTCATTCGCTTTCTTCATCAGATTCGACGGCAGCTGATGAAACTGTTCTTCAAACTGTTCTTGTGATCTGCTGACGATCGTTAGGGACAGGAGTAGCCTGACTGATCAATCTCCTGACGTAGTCGCTACAGCAGGTGTGAGTATTTTCGAAAAACCCGCCAAAATGGCCCGCTTCTCAAGAAACATGCCATGAGAGCCCGTGCAGCCCACATATGGGCTGCAGTCGCTGCGTTCAATCGAGCGCCCTCGCGGCCTCACTTGCCGAAACCTGCGCGAGCCTCACGCGAGTTAATTATAAGTTATAAGTTATGAAATTTCACGGCAAGAGCTTGCATTTATCGCTTTCACACGCTGAATTGTAAATTCTGGATGAACACAATGATAAAATGATTCAGAAGAAGATTGTAAAACACTAAAGAGGACATAGTAGTCTACCCAATTAAGTGCTTCAAAACGGATATATGCGTATCATCCCTTATGTGACCCAGATGTGCTCTTGAAAGGACCTAGCCATAGCAAAGCGATGAGCTTATAGGGTTCGATATTGAGGGTCAATAAGCTCAGTGGTCAGTTAGAAGACGATCCAGCTACCAAACATCAAAGTCGATGATAATAATAGCACAAAAACAAGGCTTTCAAATTGTTACTTTTTTCAATCCATGTCATTGCTAGAGAGGACTGGAAGCAATCGTCAAGTGTGCACCAATCGGAACTTGCTGAAAACCTCAAATTAATAACTCCGTTGACCATATGGTCTCGCCCGAGGGTCTACCAACACAACGTGAAGGGAGGGGAAACGGGGTGCTTGTCCGGCTCCGATTAACTGTGGCTTATGAAACAATAATAACTCTTCTTCCGATTTTTCGTATTTCATCATGTGCTCTAGAGCAAAGCTCCTGTGTTCTTCACTCATGCGGGAGTTTATGTTGACCGGCTTGCAGCTCCGCGTCTGAAGCTGTGATTAGGTAGATGGGCGAGGAACTGGAGGAACCCCTTTCTTGCCCCCCCCCCTCGCCCAAGTTCACGGTTGGAGTCGCTTTTCCCACGTAAAGTTGCGCCCAGCAAGCCCATGAATACAACTTACACCTGAATCATCGCGTTCTGGGCTAAGGACCAGGATTCGCTCGGGAAAATATCCGCCGACCAAAGCGTAGGCGTCCTTGCCACACGATTTCGTCGATACCGTCAGATGTCGGCTTAAATAGTCCGAAATCTCTCCGAAATCTCGTTTTCTACTGCCCGACGGGGTTTTGTATTGAAACCATTTTTTTTCTTCATTAGAGGCACGGTTCACGATAAAAAAGGATACTGAAATCTTCCTTTAAGAANATCTTCCTTTAAGAATACTCGGCGCCCCCCATGGGTGGTAGAAGAGACCCTCCCGCTCCCACAATCTCGGCGCTTAGGGCATAGGGAAGCCCTGTTGCTGACGTAATTTGCTTCCCCGCTCCTCGATCGATGTCACGTTAGACGAGTGCCGAGACAATACAGATTGCAACTATTCGTGCTAAGACCCACACACAATAAGCTGATCGCCGAGTGATGGGGCAATGTTTTTCTGCCATTCTTTTTTCCTCTGTTCTTCTTTTTGCTGCAGCGATCCCTTATTTAATTCCCTACTCCTAGAGGCTGAAACAGGTGAGCTACTTTTGCTGTTGCTAGGGTGTTTTTGTTCTTTTATGCTTATAAGTGAATGAATTTTTGCTTACCATAGTCGGTTAATCGCACCAGGACCCACACGTACGCAATGTGAGACGCATTGCATAGCTCGTCCAAACGCCCCACTCTTCTTCATTTTTCTGGACTCATTCTCGTCCAACCTCCTTTTTAATGGTCTCACGAGGCCTTTTTCCACTTTGAAAACACCGATTCACACAGTTTCTTCACCTTCATCACATTATTTTCGATCTTGTCTTCCATTATTCATTATAATCTGGATTATCCAAAATTATCGTGAACTGCGCCTTTAATGTCCATATAAATAGTATATATAACTAATGAGAAGATGAAAGGATAAGGCTCATCCCCAGCTCCAGCAATATTCGTTGTCTACGCACCAACATCGAGTTACAACGAGTTACAAAGAAAAAGAGACGGAAGCGTTTCATTCGGATCTGGAGAGGCTCTATAAAAAAGACCATACCTTCTCCATGGTCATCGTCGGTGATTTTAACGCCACTGGCTTCAGAAGAACGGCTGAAGAGCTCCACATCGGGACCCACGGAATGGAATGGAATGAGCAGGGTGAAAGGCTGTCTGAATTTATCATGTCGATACACGCCACCATGATAATTCGCTGTTCCAAAAGCCTTCTCATTTGTGATAGACTTAGGAGTCATTTAGGGTAGAGACACATAATAGAATAGATCGCATCATATTTGATCGAAAGGCTCGTGAAACATCTCCATGATAGTGCCAGAAAGCAAAGTCTACGAGTGGCCAAGGGCCGTCTCTTCTCGAGGAGTTTCAGCTGATATGCTAGCGTGGGATTGGGCGAGCTGCCTGCAACAACCAGCTAACGTCCGAACTTGCGAAGCCGTCTACAGAAACAATAAATGAAAATCTGAAGGAGAGAAGGGCAGCAGTTTCCGCCGAAGCCGCCGAGGCCGGGAAGAGTATTCACAATCCCTCCGGAGCTTCGCTGAGTACAAGACCGAGATGGTTTCCCTTCGTCGTCTTGACGGAACAGTTACTGCACCTCGAGGGGCAATGAAGAAGGTCTTTTACGATTTCCGCTCGGATCTCTTCGACAGCTACATCTACCTGCCTATCCACCATCTTGGGCAAGCCGAATATATCGCTCCTTCGGTTCTTCCTTCCAAAAATCGACGTGCCATGCCATCACGTCGATAAAGATTTGTACGGCGCCCAATCCCGATAGGATCAAACCGAAACATCTGAAGAGCCTTCCACCAGTCATCGCCAGGAACTCTGGCTAGGCTCCTCACGCGGCGCCTCTCGGATTGCAAAGTGCCCACCTCATGGAAAACTAGCAAGACTGGGTTGCAGGGATATCCAGACGACATTGGCAATTATCGTCCAAATTGCCTGCTGTTTGTAATCTACAGGCTTTTCACTCGCGTTACCATGAACAAAATTGGCAGTTTTAGATGAAGGACAGTCATGCTAGGAAGCAGTTTACGGAAAGAGTTCAGTACAATCGATCACATCTTCACCATCTCAAAACTCACTGAAGTCTCGCGAAAGTTCTAAATGCCATTACTTCTAACGCTCATCGATTTGCAGAAATTGATACTGTTGGGACAGAAGCAGTGAACATCACGCGTCATATGGATGGGAAGGCATGGACAAGAAGGTCGATGGCCGCTGCTTCCATTATCTACGCTTTGCAGACGACATCGTGCTCATAGCACCGAACATCGAGCGGGCGGAACAATCGCTGGCCGACAGCACTTGTGAAGAGATCGGATTACGACTGAACCTAACGAAGACGATTTTTATACGAAGCGGACTGATACCTGATGCCTCTTACAAACAAAACGGAACGAACATCTCTGGACGCTTTAACTACGTCTATCTAAGCCAAGAAGTTAGCATGATGAACCACCTAGATCGCAATCGAGCTGAGGGGGAGTGCGGAGCATTAAGAACATCGAGGGATTAGTGTAGAAGACAAAGAACATCCGCGCTCATCTTTTCAAAGCTGCGGTCCTACTTGCTTTGACGTACGCCTCAAATATTTGAACTCTACGAAAGTAGGATAAGCATGCAGTTGGCGTCATTCGACGCGCTGTGGGAAGGAAGGTGATCGGAATTATCCTCCACACGTGGGTGTAGAAGGGAATTCGGAGTTCCAAGCTCTGCCAACAAAGAAGGTAGGGATGCCGTTGATTACGATAAGAAATCGGAACTAGGGTTTTCTGGTTAAGGACTGGGGACATCAAACAAACGCCAGGACGGCCGCCGGCGCGATGGATAGACATCTTCAGAAAAGTTTTAGAACGAAAAAATGTTTCGCCCAGTGCCCATCGAACGAGTACGATTCACAGGACTACTCTGGCTCGCGACAGGGACGGATGGAGACATTAGTGGTGCCCGCTCGAGAAAATTGATGATCAGGGGGACGGGCGACAGGTGGTACAGATGATAACTAATAGTTCAGCGACACGTTTACACGTCCGAATGCCTAGGAGTAGGCCAATTCGGTTTCCTCTGATCCAGAGTGGCTACATCCACTATGGTAAAAACTCAGCACTAGCCCCGACGAGGCAGTGCTCAGACTCCTGGAAGCCAGTTTGCTATAAGCGCATCAAAACGGCCTCATTACCTCGCACACTGGGCTCCGGTTTCGGATGTGATGGCAACCGGTTGAAACCGAGAGCATCTCGGGTTGTGCAAAATGCCTTGGACCATGATAGCATCCCTCTACTCAACATGGAGACTGTTTTCTACTTTACACCTACAACGCGAAGTCAGTTTCTACCAATGCCACTCTTCGTAAGCCCTTCGATGCAACTACTTACATTGAATATCATGTAATTGCGCTGCAAGAAACCAAGAGCAAGAGGGAAGACGTTCGACGAGTGAATGATGAGACCCTAATCATTAGTGGTGAAAACCTTCCGTCGCGAAACGTCGGCGGCATTCGTTTTGTTGTGCACTCGTCTGTCGTCCATTTCGTCGATCCTAACGAGGTTCTCTCTCCACACTTTGCCACCCTGCGCCTACGCCGGCATACGCACCTGGACCCACCTCCATCGCCAACTGCTATTCTCCACACTTCACAGCTGACGAAGTTGAGCTCGATGCGGTTTATGACCAACATGAGGAGATCATTCACAACGAAAAGTCCCTCTGCAAGCTTGTAGTTGGAGAGTTCAACGCTAGGCTTTGCGAAGCATCTGAGGAGAAGTTCAGGATTATAGACTCCGCAAGGAGGGACAGGAACGAGATCGGAATCCGTCAAGCTGAACTTGTGCCCGCGGTTCCACCCTTCCATGACAACTCTTTTTTCCAGAAGGAGGAACATCGTTACTGGACATCGGAGCTTCCAAGCGGTACGAGCTCTGGACTGGACCACGTATTAGCGAACAAAAAGTGGTGCTCACCAGATGTTGGTGTGGTACCATTTTTCAGCACCAGTTCTGCTCATAGACTCCTTTGCGCTGAGAACAGATTCAATCACGAGCTAGGAAGAATCTCTCGAGAGATGTTCTGAATGACGCTTCACCCCGATATGATTGGCAGGTCATGGACGACCATACTGAAGTCTAGAACGCGCTGATTCTGAGTCTCCTAACGTGTGCTGAACAGGCCGAGCCTCTTCGATTGGAGAAGAAACTGGAGAAGGCAAGAAGAAACCCGAAGTTCAACCAGAACTGCAGGCAGCCCTGAATAGAACTAGTCGCCCCCGCCCCTCTGCAACCTCTGCAAGTCCCTCTGCAAGCTTGTTGTTGGAGAGTTCAACGCATGATAAACTCAGACAGCCTTTCACCCTGCTTATTCCATTCCATTCCGTGAGTCTCGATGTGGAGCTCTTCAGCCGTTCTTCTGAAGCCAGTGGCGTTAAAATCACCGACGATGACCATGGAGAAGGTATGGTCTTTTTTATAGAGCCTCTCCAGATCCGAATGAAACGCTTCCGTCTCTTTTTCTTTGTAACTCGTTGTAACTCGATGTTGGTGCGTAGACAACGAATATTGCTGGAGCTGGGGATGAGCCTTATCCTTTCATCTTCTCATTAGTTATATATACTATTTATATGGACATTAAAGGCGCAGTTCACGATAATTTTGGATAATCCAGATTATAATGAATAATGGAAGACAAGATCGAAAATAGTGTGATGAAGGTGAAGAAACTGTGTGAATCGGTGTTTTCAAAGTGGAAAAAGGCCTCGTGAGACCATTAAAAAGGAGGTTGGACGAGAATGAGTCCAGAAAAATGAAGAAGAGTGGGGCGTTTGGACGAGCTATGCAATGCGTCTCACATTGCGTACGTGTGGGTCCTGGTGCGATTAACCGACTATGGTAAGCAAAAATTCATTCACTTATAAGCATAAAAGAACAAAAACACCCTAGCAACAGCAAAAGTAGCTCACCTGTTTCAGCCTCTAGGAGTAGGGAATTAAATAAGGGATCGCTGCAGCAAAAAGAAGAACAGAGGAAAAAAGAATGGCAGAAAAACATTGCCCCATCACTCGGCGATCAGCTTATTGTGTGTGGGTCTTAGCACGAATAGTTGCAATCTGTATTGTCTCGGCACTCGTCTAACGTGACATCGATCGAGGAGCGGGGAAGCAAATTACGTCAGCAACAGGGCTTCCCTATGCCCTAAGTGCCGAGATTGTGGGAGCGGGAGGGTCTCTTCTACCACCCATGGGGGGCGCCGAGTATTCTTAAAGGAAGATATCAGTATCCTTTTTTATCGTGAACCGTGCCTCTAATGAAGAAAAAAATGGTTTCAATACAAAACCCCGTAAAGCAGGATACACCTAGCTAGAGCATCCACAGATATTCATTCCGTTCAGCGTGAAGGAAGCATCGGGAACCAATCCGTTGCTTGTAAAGCTTGTCCTCGTCAGGATCGGATGCGAGCCGATCTTCCCATCAATCTTGTTGAATTCAGTCACCATTCGTTCCGCCTGCTCGATATTCGGCTTGAGGATGACCATGCTGGCGAAGATGATGCAAGTAGCTGTCGTTGAACTTCATTCCTACATCTTCTTATTCCAAATTACTCATCAATTTTGAGAGTGACATGTTTGAGCGAAATGGTATCGCTTTGCTCAGCCCCACTGTCAATGTTGATAATCACCTGAGATCACTACACAGAAATACGTCCAGCAATTTAAGTCTCTATCGAAAGCCACTTTGACTTGGGATCCTTCCCTTGTCAGTTTTGGCAAGCATTGCAAATGCTCTTTCTAATCTCGGACTTCCGCTGAAATTGCCGTACTTTTCTTTCTGATATTCCTTTATCGCTTCTCTACATAGTTTGAGTCATAAGTCCTCGGACCATGTAATAGTGATGACTTGTAACGATCATAACCAGAAAAGAGGTGACGAGAATGGACGCGCTAGGCATCATTAGATAGAGTATAAAAAGCTCTTCCACATACGTAACAACGAGTACATCTGACCGTTTCCTACGCCCGAGCGTGAGGAGAGAAAGTGCCATATTGGCGCGGCAGTCCATGTCATACTGCTTCAATGCATGAGGCACCCATCGACCGAGCTTTCGCACCTTGCTGGTTGATTTTAATCCACGAATAACTGTGGGCTGACTCTCCAAGAGTGACTGTCAGTTCGATACGAATCGGCTTCCACCTGGCTCCGCAGCACGTCCAAATCCAACTCTATTGAGAGTCTCGGACAATCTTCATCTTCGAACGAATAGTCGTCCGACGTGAACTTCGAGTGCCACTTGTGAATCGTGCATCTAGCAACTTTTTTTGTGAACTTCCTTCATACGTCTATCGATCTCCGCGGGCTCTTGGCCAGCTAAAAAAGAAATAGGATGGTGTTGCGGAGGTGAAGTTGCGACGGCTTGAAATCATGGGGCATGGTTGCAGGGAAGGAAACGGTTAGGTGTGTTCATTAATGTGTATTTGGGAGAGCTTTTCACACTCTATCTAACGGTGCCATGCGCGCCCAATTTCGTCACCTCTTTCCCAAGTTATGTTTACTAGAAGTCATCACTACCACTTTTCCGAGGACTTATGACTCAGCCTAATAGCTTCGCAAGTGCAGACATTAGCTGGTGATCGGTAAGTGGTGAAACGCTGTTTAAATGGTATGCTCCGACACTGTGGGTTACGGGCGCCGTACTACTCCTTATTATGTACGTGATGCATGTCAAATTCCGGAAAAGAGGTTTGAAGAAACGTTATCTCCATCCTATCCAAGGTGATAGTTAGGCAGGTGAACGTGGCTGTCGAGAAGATCCGAATAGAAGTGAGTGGTATTGTCCACTACCCTCCAAGATGCAATCGATAACCCTCTCTTTTCGGCGCCTCTATACAGCTTTGCAAATGTGTGTGTGATTCTACACTAGTGTATCAGCTCGAGAACCATCGAATGGAGACGTTTTGGTAGCTCGTGGAGTCTCGACTTTCCTAGTACTATCGCACAGATGTTCGATGAGCCAGTTATAATTGTCGTTGATCTTGCGATAACGAGATCTCCGCACAGACAAGGGAAGCGAAAGATCTTACTTGAATACGATCTTGAGATTTATCATCTAAACGTCGCCTCTCTCTCTCTACACGCATCTGAAATCTAGAGCGGGGGACACAGTGGTCCGATTCCATTTCGGAACAACAGCGGCGTCAGTGAGGCAAAACCTCCGGTCGAGGACGATGTGATCTTTGTTCGCCTCACACCTTCCAGAGAACTATTTCTCTCCAGTCACAAAAACGGCGTGCAACAGGTGATACCTTCGCGTCTCGATCAGGTCGATAGCCTCGAACTTGTTTTTCCTACATTGCATCATCAGATCTTCGTACGCGCTTCCGATGCAAGCGCTTGTGCTTCGAAAAGACATAATTATCTAGGCTCTTCTGTATCTATGTTGCTTTTATGGTTCTGAGATTTTAGCAGCCTCTCGCTAGTTGTCTTACCCACGTTGCCGCATTGATTCAGGGTAACGAGGCCAATTTTTGCTAAAGTTCTGGCATATGGAAACTCACGATTAGCTTGCCAACTCTGACGTGGGGCTCAGTGAATTCCGATGAGGTAGCCAAGCTCTCAAGGAGAAAAGAGATTCATTCATCGCCGGTTGCTCTCCAGTCACTCGAATGCAAGCATTTTATCTAGGTCGGTGTGCAGGATACCAGCCACACCCACAGACTCTCCAGATACGCATGCAAGAATACACCTGCGAACATGTAGATGGTTTAAATCGGCTCAACACAACAGAAACGGACAGCCCATCCGTGAATCTCCGGACAAGTGTCGTTACTTCTGGGTCACGATTTATTCCTCACTCCACCACCGAGAATTTCGCCACATGGCCTCTCACTAGCCGGCTAGAGATCCCTCAGTCTTCTATTGAGGATATTCATAACATTATAGGGGGAGGATCACTCTTCACTGGTAATGTTAGAATAAAGTGTCCAATAAAAATCAGCAGCCATGATAACTTCGTTGAGGCAACGACTTGAATCCACGCCCGCTCTAGACTTTTTTTATCACTTTCACTGATTTCAATTAATTACTGTTTCGAGGGGTTTGATTGATGATTGTGAGGCTACTTCTGGGACGCGAAAGAACAGCGTCGTTCGATCGGAACTAGCACTGACATTATTATGTATGACGTATGCTGCCTTCATAACAACTTATGAAAAGTTCTTCTCGATAAGAGGGGGAGCATGAAAGTAGGGGGCTCGCGGAATTGTGGGACTGTAGACCCTTCTCAGTTGAGGCTTCCTTTATCCAACTACACGTGCTTGAACCATGCTTCCAGTTATAGGTTTAGAGCAACCATCCATGCTGCGCCAAAAAACACTGCATTTCAGATATTTCCTAACTCACTCTGATTGCTTGAGAAGCTTGAGAAGTCGTCCAAGTTCAATCAATCTCATTTATTTATCAGGTTGATGCATAATTATTGCGAATTTTTTCAACAAAATTTTATATAAATAAACGATAAAAATAACGAACAAAAACATGTTTAAATAATTATTCCGGAACCTATCTACCATCTACGTCAAGCACTGCTTTCCATTTGCTAGGCAGTCGGTTTTCCGTGGCAAACAAGTTTCGAGTTCTTGGCGGCGATCCACCCCTTGACATCAGCTATCAATACACCCCTTCCGTCGTAAGTTCCGTTCGCTAGCCAATTTTTAAACGAACTGTAGACGTGATGATTCATAGAAGTTTCTATCGGTTAATATGACGAATTTAGAAGCGAATTCCATTCCTTACTTGACTTTGACTGGCTGTCCCATCACCGAAAAGTTCGTTGAGATAGCGAAATGACGTCTGCCACCTTCAACCGTTCTCGAGGTAATAGCGTATAATGTGGCGAATATGAATATGACTTTCCAGATACACTTCTGTTGAGGAAAACCAGGGGATTATTTCCGTGAAAATCCCGAATCCCATATACAGCGAGAAAAGAAGCCGCAAAAATTCACAATAATTATGCATCTACCTAGTATTTATTTGTTCATTTTTTCATCCATTCGGGTACGCGGAAACATATCGCGCTGCAAAAAGCGGAACAGAACAAAACATAGAAAGGCAGCACAAACTGAGATGCTCCAAATGGCAAAAGAAGTGAAGAAAGCAAAACAATACCATAATATAAAACAATACCATAACTATAACCAATTAACCACCATAATGAAATTACAAATGGAGAATGTAGAATGAAGAGGACAGCTTCAGAAAACCCACCTTATCTAAGACCCTCCTTTTGAATGCGGATGGTGACAATTTGAGGCCATCAATTTGGAGTAATTTATTCGCAACCACTCTTAAATTCGTTTTTTCAGTGAGTATCTTGGAAGCCATCAGTAAGTTGAAAGCTTTCCGTCCACCCTGCAGATCAGGCAATCCAATTTGACAGCCCCTTTCCACCCATTTGGAACAAACTGAAGACCAGGACATTTGCAAAGTAAAAAAAGCTTACGCGTAAAATCATTTTCAGTGGCTTCTGAGGTAAACTTTCATTTCACAAGGGGAGAAGGCAGTGGTACCACGTTCAAGAATAGTTCGAACATAAGTTTCATAAGCGCGCAAAGGCTTTTGTGCAAAAGTTCACAACCTTTGTGCGGAGAATTTTGGAAAAGACTGTATGCCCTGAAGTTTGCTTTTTTGACAGTTTTTTGAACGTATTAGGGGAAGAATGCTTGTCATCAAGGTCTCATCGGCGAATAGCTTATAAACCAGCCAATATCAATCAGTTTACATCGGGATTCTTGCGACTAAGCGACGGCCAGTTTAGCGTTCTTGATAAGTGGGCGAAGTCATTCTTTTCCACAGAATACAGCGATAAGTGATACTTTTTTGCACCCCCTTGATCTACAGGGTGGGTCAAAAATATAATTACACAGACATCACATCCACGAAAACGAATAAAAAGCTAATAAAGCAAACCAATTTTAGAAAGGTGGGTATCACTGATCTCTTATCGAAATAGTACAGTGAAACTGGGATCTGCTGCTTTCTGCTTTCATCCAACCCCAGAGGCGATGATGGGCGACATTGACGATGACACGCAGCTAAGGTCATTGAGTTGATCCCGGCTTTTTGCGAGGCATTTTCGAGATTATTTCACTTATTGTTTGGTCTAACAGATGCTTTCATCTCAAAGGTTGACCACGCTGAGGCATCCATGAGATTTAGTTTAGGGCTCCAGAGTGGTCATTGATCAAAGATTATGAAGTCAGGGAGCCTCCTTTGCGAAATTTTTAGTTAATTTCTAATCTGCGGTCAGGAGCTTCATCTTGACAGCATGTCTGGTCTGGATCGCCAAAGTGTCCCATTGCGCACGAAGAGATCGAACAGGCCTCCAAATCAACTTTCATTCCTTAATTTACAAAAATAATCGGTGTTTTTGCCTTGGCTTTGATCCTCGTAAAGGCCATCGCAGAAAGGTAGTGAGCTAGCGCTGTATCACTTCCATTTCGTTGAGCTTCATACAAATCTTGTCGCACTGCTTATTGAGCACCTTTTTCACCGTGAATCTGTTTTCGTGGGT